GAGAAGTTAAGTCGTTTGGGTGAAGGTTCCTACGGCATAGTTTACAAATGTCGCGATCGTGAAACTGGCCAGTTAGTGGCTGTAAAACGATTTGTTGAATCAGAAGATGATCCCGCCATACGTAAAATAGCTTTGCGGGAAATTCGTTTATTAAAAGTAAGTGTCTTTCTGAAATTTCTTTCAAATTTTTTACAATTTTTCTCCTTTTCTTAGAATCTTAAACATCCAAATCTAGTATCGTTATTGGAGGTATTTCGTCGTAAGCGACGTTTACATTTAGTTTTTGAATTTTGCGAGTTGACAGTATTACATGAATTGGAACGTCATCCTCAAGGCTGTCCCGAACACTTAACAAAACAAATCGTTTATCAGACATTACAGGGTGTGGCGTATTGTCACAAGCAAGGCTGTCTGCATCGTGATATTAAACCAGAGAATATACTGTTGACAGCTCAGGGACAAGTGAAATTGTGTGATTTCGGTTTTGCCCGAATGTTAAGTATGCATACTGAACACACACACACATATACATATACATATACACAATCACAATGTTCGCACAGTTTCATATTCATATCAAACTTTTTTTTTAGTTAATTTTCCTTTACTTGATTTAAAAAAAAAAGACAGAGAAATAATGAAAACGGAAATAGAAAAGAAAAAATGTGAACATTTTATTCTTCTTTGCTTTGGTCTCCAAGGTCCTGGTGAAAATTATACCGACTATGTAGCGACACGTTGGTATCGCGCTCCCGAATTATTGGTCGGCGATACACAATACGGAACACCGGTAGATGTTTGGGCGATTGGTTGCCTGTTTGCCGAACTGATACGCGGCGAAGCATTGTGGCCGGGACGCAGCGATGTGGATCAATTATATTTGATACGTAAAACATTAGGTGACTTACTCCCAAGGCATGTACAAATATTCGGTCAAAATGAATATTTTAAGGTAAACATATTTATTTTATTTTCTCCCTTCTTTTGTATTATATGTTAAAATAAATATCAATTTGCAAAAAAAAAAAATAAAAAAAAAATAACAAACTTTTCAGGGCATAACACTGCCAGTACCACCCACCTTAGAGTCATTAGAGGAGAAGATGCCAGCCAAAGCTTTACAAAATCCATTAACTACAGATTTTTTAAAGGTTAGTAAGGTTACCGAACTAATAAAGCTTACTGAAAGTATCGGGAACTTTTAAAGCAACATTATTATATATAAACCTTAAACCCAAATTCAATATTCAAATAAGATTAAGTCTAGATTTTTTATGCACGAGCAGTGAGCTAAGAATGAATTCATGAATTTACGCGTCATTGATAAGTCTGTGAAGAGCTGAAGAATAAAGTCTTACGTGATTCTTTATTCGCAATTAACTCCTATGAATTGCAAGATAGTCGAGATAAAAGACAAATAATTGCACGATGCAAGAGATTTATAGAAATTCTTCACATTTTTTTGGTAAGATCCAGTGAACACCTCAATGTATTTCGCTGATTTTCGTACTGAAATTGACTGAAGGAAAACAAACCATTTGAGTTTAAGTAAGAGCATCATCGCAACAATCACTGACGAAATACTGAAATAATAGTATGTGCGAAGATTATTAAGGATGTGTGATATTGAGGTATTATAAAATAAATTTTAGAAAAAGTTGTTGCTAAATATTGAAAAATGACAAAGTTAAATGAAAGGCTTTTAAACATGTAGCAAAAAAAAGGGGTGAAATTCAGTCAACATCATAATACATATTATATACCATTTGGATTTAATCACCATGCTATAGGGCGAATCTATGATATCGTAAAATTTGCGCGTGCAAAGTAACAATAAAGAGGGTTGCGAGAGTTTGCACGGCTACTAGAGAGCTTTTCTAAGGTTTAGGGTTCCTAGATCCCATCTACAAAGTTGGAAAAGAATTCATAAGAAATTTTAATCAAAACGTGTATACTAAGGAGCGCCGCTTTAAACCCGAATGCTAAATGACATTAAACGATAGTTGTCCAAAGTGTTAGGTAGCGATCTGTAGAAGGGATGAAGTAAATTTTTAAATGTGATTCCAAATGGAATATTATTTAATGATTTGTGATTTCTGATGAATGAGTCAGCTCGGTGCGGTGTGTTGTAGTTTGTTTCAAGCGGGCGAAGCCATAACGAGGGAAAGTTAGCAACAACAACTGATGAAATAAAAATAAAAAGAATGGACGCCTTAGGTAGGTAGCCTCAAATGACCAGTTGTGCTTTTTGCATGAAATTAAGCTGCGACCTCGAAGAAAGCAAAGATAATGGTTGCGGATAGACAATTGATTTTATAAAATATCTCGTGTCCTTTTTTTCTTCGCAATATGATCGAGTTTTACTAAAAAGTCAAAAAGAACTTATTCCGACAACAATTACTTTGCAGAAGGATTTTGAAAAGTGATCGCAAAAAGTGTCCCAATCAATCAACTGGTGATGCCTTGGAATTTTTATCGATTAGGTGGTAGAGGTATAAAAAGTGTGCCACTTTAGCTTTATTTCCATGACTCGCGAACGTATAATAAAAAAAAATAAACTAAAATTTTTCTTTCAAATTTTAATAGAAATGCCTCGACAAGGATCCGATTAAACGTTGGCCCTGCGATAAACTCATAAAACATTCATATTTTGATGATTACATTGCCAAACAGCGCGAATTGGACGGCATTAGTAGCATAGAGATGGCTAATCTAAGACAACAACAACAACAACATTTGCTACAACAACATATGTTGCAACAACAGCAACAACAAGCACAGCAAGTGGCACAATCTCTGCTTCAATCTTCGCTCGCAGTAGCAAATACAAGCAGAGATAAATCAAAGGTACAACAACAACAAACAATAATAAAAATTAAAACAAAAGCAATTTAAAAAATATTATTTCTTAATAAATTCTTTTCAAATGAAGACTTCAAATACTTCGTTACCATTGTTGAGTACCCAACATCAGCAGCATCAGGACTATGTGAAATTGCAGCCCCTCAACAAGAATACAACATTATACCAACGCAGTGAACATCATCTGCCGACAATATAAAAAAATCGATTACATTCTTAGTTAATTCAACAAAAAATTATTTTTATTAAATTTATAATATAATAATTTGCTAAGTTTAACATTAACATATAATAATTAAAACAGTAACGATAATAATAATTAAGAGATAACATACATATATGAAACTTTATTTTCATTCAACATTACAGTCATGCATGAGGTTTTAGTTGTTAATTTATTTGCAACATAATTTGTTGTTGACTTTGCCATCAATTATCAGACTAAACAGTGCCTTCACAAAAAAGAAAAACAAAAGAAAGCAAAACAAAAAAAAAAAATGGAAAAACAAAATTGTGCATAAAGCAACAAATTGTTATCATTTAAATCACGTTTTATGATGCCTACCGCCTGTGTGTCTGTATTGTCGAAGTGTAAGAATTTAAAAGAAGGCATTACAGGCTTATGTACAGAGTGTTACAGTGTTTTATACAGTGTTGTTAAACTAAATCTATACCATAGACAAACACAAAGCCACGTGCCTAAATCTCTTACATAAAAATCAACAACCAAAGTTATATGAGGCTTACGGCGAATCTTCAACAACCACTTTTTGCGTCAAGTTAGCATCTGTACAGCCATTTGTCAGTTATCAATGAAAACTTATCTTGTATTTCTTAGGAAACATTTTTTAATTTCTTTTTTGAATTTTGCACGACCTTAGATTAAAGTTAAGCTTCTACTATAGTTATAAAAAATGTGCAGAGAGGGAGGGAGGGAGAAAGAGAATTGAAAGGCTGGTCAGGTAATCAACTCACTTTATGATTATGAATAGTAATCGTCACTGCCAAGAGTAAAAAGACGAATTTTCTCTTAGAAGCAATCAAGGACCCATCACAGAATTTCAAAATCAATAGGAATGCATTCCAATAGCGAGGTTGAACGGACAATAAATAATTGTTCGGCCAGAAAGGGCTCTCACTCGATCTAAAACCGGATCTCTAACTGTTTTAATAAAAACTAAAAATCGAAGGAGATAGACTAGTGGTTTATATTTTAGATAATCTCAGAAAATGATTTTCAAAAGGCATATACGAAGAAGGAATTGTGAACCACGGTCTTAACATGATAACTTCAAGACTACAAAAGTTATGAAACAGGCAGCCAGAAATAACATTAACACGATAAATGACACGCGCCATGAGGAGAGAATACTCTTTAGTATACATAACCTCAAAAGGCAAATAAAAATTTCAGCTTGCATAATTTTCCTAGTGTAAGATATGTTTTAGCAGAGACACTGTCACTAAAGTCCCAAAGAGTATGAGAAAATACCACCGTTTGTTACAGGTTCTCGAATAGGGAACATCTCCCGATTGAAAAAGAAAGCCTTACATTAACATCTTTTATGGAATTGTAAATAACATTTTTTGTTTATGATGAATGCGTTTACAAGTGAGTGGAAATCAGTTTCAATCCAAGGAAAACAAGTTGCAACTCTCTATTCCAACTATTCCAACAATAAGATAAGCAGAGGAAAGTCATAGACAGAGCTAGATCGACCTGGAATCCAATGTTGATGATACGTATGTAGGTTTCTCTATTACGCGCACTATTACTCTACTCAAATTGTTACTTACCCTTGATCTTCTAATACCATAGGTACAAGATTAAAAGCCCTTTGATTTAAATTTCTATGATCGTGAGGGTTCTAACCTTAAACAACAAACGGACTGCCACACGGAGGAAAGAGCGAACGCATAGAACAGATAGATTTGAATATCTGTGTGATGTGCACGCGTAGAGGTTACAAACGAAATGATAAATCTAGCATATCCAGATTCTTCTGCACATAATTCTGTACATAAATAGAAAAAAGAAATAACAGCAAACGTTGACAGCTTAGTGTAACAATATCTTTAAAGTAAACAAAATGTTTTGTTCCTTTAAGGCTATTCTTGCCAGTTTGATATAATCTTCTAGTAGCGTTCGTTACAAGGTAATATACTGTCGCGTTATTTCGCATGTTCACCGTTTTACAAGATAGATGCATAAGCGGATTTTGCTTTCAATTGATTATATAGAATAGAAATATTCTCTAACCATTATATCTCGTTCAGATGAGTTCTGGACCAGAATGAAATTTCAAAGCGCTTTGATGTTTGTCTTTTTTTTTTACTACTAAAAGGCGTCGTCCACATACTTAACGAGCACTTGGCACTCAAGCATTTACCTTGCGTGTCAGATAACATCATGAGATGGAATTTAAACGTGAAATTTCTTGTGCCCTACATCGAAGGTATTTCAAATTCGTTATCCGCTTGTTACACTCTATATATATTTTTTAGACTAATAAGAGCAGCACGTACAAATCGAACATATTTCCCTTATTTAGGATTGTTTCTGCTAAATACTCCGTCCATTATTTCGTCAAGCATAATAATGAGTTTTTACATATACAAAAAAATTATTTATTATGTTGAATTTTTATGTATATTTTCTTACTTCTACTTTATGTGAATATCCGATCGAGTTTGCTTTTGTTTTTCTACACAATAAACATAAGATAATCTACTCCATTACCTATTATTTACTTGGTTTTCATTCAATCTTTAAACTAAGCAATTTTGGTAAACCATTCAAGTTTGAAGTCAGATGCTTGATACAACAGAGCACCATTATTTTTCATTCAGTTTATATTATGTCGTTGTACATATATATTTAGACAAAAGTTCTTATATAACAATGCTGAGATCAAATTTTCCTTGATTATTGTATTGCAGTGAATGATAGTTTCCGTAGATCGAGCTAAGCGAGGGTAACAAGAAATATTTTTTGGCGTCTTTCGTCGTGCGCGTGAACCTATTCGCGTGAATAATGGGCAAGCAGATCTTTGCATTTGCATCACAATTATTCACTTTCATGAGCCACTGAAACTACTGGAATGAACTTTTATGTAACAGATGTCAATTATAGTGCTGCCAGCTTAAGGCTTGAACAAGTTCACGGGAATTGAAATGAGCTTGTTTTTCTTGACAGTATTATGTTTGCAAAAAGAATACCTATATTTTTGAAGGGCGTTTTGGGAATGTTGCTACAGGCCAGTCGAAAGCATTCTCTCTTCGGAAGACACAATCGTCGATTCTTTATTAACAGCACACAGGTCACCATCGTGTACTATTCAATTTACTTGATTATGTAGTCTCACATTTTATCTTCGACTATGAGCAACGAAATTTACAATGGTCTCAGGTTATGCTGAATTACGATAAGACTTATGATTAATCTTATATAAGTATTAGTTCCTGTTTACTTGCGGACCGAGTTGTGCATTTGTTCAAGTTCAAAGCTAAAGCCCGAAGATGTGGAACGATAAGAAAGGAATCGGATACCGACAATACTTGTGTACCGTTTCGCCGGTGGTAGCCGTCAATTTCCCCATCTCACTCGATTTTCGAATGAGATCAAACATATCTATCCCACCTTTCGGAGTCATATCTTACAATGTCCTATATACATACAGTGCTAATATACGCAACGAACTCTCAACTTACCGTGTGCGGCAAAGACTTTAGTCCTCGCAGTACTCACCTGCCCTTTACCATATTGAAGTTTGATCGTGTGCAAAGTGCACTGAACCTTTGGGTATTTAAATAACTATTGAAATTAATTGCTTTTATAATATTTTTATATATTTAAGTTAACATTTTAGGCCGATGGCTGCTAAAGTTCCTAAGTTATTATGAATATATATATTTATTAAGAAGTTTGTTGTTTTTCTATCACAGTTATGCTCATGCACAAGATCACGACTTTCGCCTATGAATGAAGAATATAGTTACGCAGTTTAAACTTTCGATATATTATATAACTTATCTTCTCTATCAAGGATAAAATGAAAATAGAAGCAAAAATCAATTGGAAAAAAGACATATTCGACTTTTTAAAATCGTGTAGCATCGAAACCGTGCCTTACAAGTATCGTGTTAAGCGGGGGATGCCCACACTCCTACATCGCATGTGTCCATGCATCCATCGTTCAAAGCAGAGTGAACCAATGTAACCTTTCAAAGTTGGAGAAGCGGGAAAGGAGAGGATTCTTTTTCTACCTTCCATCGGAAAACTCACATTCATCCTTTCAGAGACTAAGCCATTATGCAGCCACATACCCCAGCAAATAAGAGTCGCAAGCAGCAAGTAGGATTGGTATGATCGTACTTGGCTGTGATCATAGTGAATGTTCAGTCGATAAAGGCAAAATTACTCAGTGATTGGTTATGCATTCACTGCAGAGGCTGCGGTCACCTTCCTTTTTTAGTTTCCCTCACTTCTCCGTAATCATTACCGTGTGTTACACGTAAAGCAGGGATCTTGTGAGAGATTGCTGACATGTAAAGGAAAAATTTTGCATCAAAGGTCGCTTTGATATCCAATCATACCATGAAATTTAATTTTTGGAAGTTAAAGTTCATTTTTACTAAGTTTCTTATCGTAACCAGCATAAGCACTGACTTGTGTTCCCCACGGCAACCACAACTACTGAGGTATAGTAAGGTGGTTTCATTAACTTTTCCAAAGTTTCACTGATGCTCGACAATAAAACATAAATTATTCACAATTTAAACCTATTTTTTATAAAACTTTTCTTATTAAATTTTCCCAATCTTTTTAAATTTTTTTCCTATAGTTACTGCTAAAGTACAGTAAACACTCGCATGTATTAATTTTGCCATTATACGGCACAGACTCGATACCATATCATACATATTTACGAACAACATGCGATTTTAAGTAAACTGAGCTATGTCTGCCCATTAATACGAAAATCAGTTTGCAAGTGCCTAAGTCCAACCATCCGACTAATTTGCTCGTTAACACAATCCGCCTACTATGGGTAAAAGAGCAGAGCAATCTCGGCACCCTTTCATCAGTAATTCGCAAACTTCGTAATCCAATAAACATTCAAATAATTACCGTTATTTATTTAAAATGGCTAAAGTCATTAGTGCTGGGTTATCGAGCTTCGACTCGAGGTGAATATAAGTCTCATTCATATTTTGTATACACATATATTTATTCTATTTTCATATTGCAAAACAACTTGTCTTACAATTGTGTCGTTTGCTAAATCAGAGCAGAATAAGAGGAAATGTCGTTCTAGCATGTTTTGCATAAATTGCAGCAGATTTTTCAAAGAAGAAGCGCACATGTCACCGAAACACATGCGCTCGCACCCACATTGCAAAATATGTGTGTGGGCAAGCATACGTACATGTATAAAATAACAATAATACAAAATTGCATACAATACAGTAAAACTCAATACACATGCAAAACACAAAAAGGAAATTGTCGGAAAAGCTAAAGAAAAGCAGATAACAACTTTAACACACACGCACAATGCATAGCAAACTATGACGACTTAAAATGACAGTTATGCAAATTTTCCAACGAAAACGAAAGAAAGTAAAGTGTGCAAAGAAGGAATAGTAAAAACGTTTATTTGCGTTTCAATGTGTTTATAGAATATTTATAATAATTTTTTTTTTTTTTTTTTTTTTTTGTTAAATTCTTTTTTTCTTCTATTTTTTCTTGTACCTAACTTGCTGAGTAATAAAGTGAACATTTTCGAATTCACGTAACTTAAATGCATTCAAATCGCCAAGCCTTTAATGTTGCTCTTGAACAAGAAGAAAAACTTAGCAATGACTGCATATTGTTTCACTACCACATATCCGATACGTACATCTATACGTATATCCCATCAAGACATATAGTGTCACCTAAATCGCCATTTCGTAATATGAATTTGAACATATTGTAGAATAACGGTATAAGAAAAACAAAAAAATGGGTAAATAAATAAATAAAAGCTCTATAAAAAATCATGTAAAGGGGAGGGGGGAAAGAAATGAGCATAGAGATATTTATAGATTCTTATCAACCCCACGCAATTTGGGAATTGTCAGGCAACCATGTGATGTGAATCGTATGTATTTGTAAGTAAACGAGGGCAACCAGTACCTGTGCGAAAGCTTTTTAGTTGATTAGGAGTTTTGAGATTGACTCTAAGACAGCAACAATATACAGAAAGTAATATAAGAGACAATTACGTTTTAAAAAAAACTGAAATACATATAACAATCTCTACACTAAACTCTTAGATCGAATCTCTTAATACCCTTCACCAACAACAAACATTCCCATGGCCGATTAAAGAGCATAATTTGCTTAACCATGAACCCCGGGACCGAGTTTGCCACAAAAGTCCATCTCTCTGCCATATGTCCACCTGCTTTTATCACTCTTTCGCATGGCCTTTTTATCTGTCTTTTTCGGTCTGCCTTCTTATCTTAAGCTATCTTAACCGATTTCTTTCAGTTTTCCTATCTTCTCTATTTACCCAATAGTCTTTTCATTTTGATTTGATGAAGGCACTTTCGACTATGTACCCCCTTCGACCCTATGCCACTTGTGGTACTAAATACGTTAAGTTTGTGCGGACGGTTGTAACAACCAGAAGGACTTGAGGTAGACCTAGCTTTTATTATACTGATCGATTCAGAATCATTTAGTAAATCACTTTCTTAAGCGTTGTAAGCGTTGCTGGTTCATCTGCTCCTCTGCCTGTCCGTCTTACTATCTTGTGTTCAACCTACAGATAATAATGTTTGAGATATTTTGATGAGATTTGATTGAAGTGTTTTGCCACAAATTCGAATGCCATTGAAAATGGTTCGAAATGGACTACTTTTTCGACAAATTCCCACGTAACGCTTTAATTTCTACAGCGGAGTAGAACATTCAATGCTAATTTTTTTAATTTGAAAAACCTTCGGTCTTTCTCCAAATCAATATGCTCGCATGCATTAGTTGAATAGCTGTAGCTCAATCCAGTTTAGTTGAAGCATAACGTCTCTCACAAGAAATGTGCCACTTTGACTGGCACACACATACAACACATATTAAGGACACTTTACGCGTAACACACGAAATGATAAAATTAATATACTGCTCTGCGACATTGCAATAAAAAGGAAACTCTCTCCGTCCCTCTTGCAAAGGTCTTCTTTTTGTTCAATTTTCATTTCTAACGGTTAAGTGAAAAGATATAAAAAGGAAATGAAATATTTGAGTAAGTAGCGTTTGCTTGACTTTACAAACTAAAGGAAGGAAACAATTTTGTCGTAATTATTAAAAAATTCATAAATATTTTACTGAAAATAAAAATATTAAACTTTAATAAATCCAAAGGTTAAAAATAATTGTATCTAAAATTGTTCTGTAAGCTATCTCTATCTCTAATGTTTTCCGATTCATCATTAAAGTAGAAAATAGTTCGTTTATTTGCATTGTACAAAGATTGAGGCGCCAATTCCGACCATTGCCAATAATTATAATTCACATTATGATTACGACGGCATTCTTGCTCTTGCTCTTGCTTTCCCGGTGATTGTATAGGTCTAAACTTGGACCAATTCATTCGCTTATTATTATTGACATTTTTATATTGATTGCTTTTAAAATTTGGGGGCAATACCGATATAATAACTGGTTTAGTTTTCCTAATGAATGTTTTAGGGGGAGATACGGCCTTCACAGTGCGTATATTATTCGATGTTAATGTCATTTTATCACTGGAATTGCCAACTGACAGCGGCAATGCTGTTCTGTCCGGTGATAGTGGAACCAAGGGATTAAAGGGATCATCGCCATATAACTTTTTATATTTTGAAGAGTTAATTAAGCCGATAATTTGATATAATGCCACACATGTACAAAAACCGTAACCAAAATACACTGAAATCGAAATAAAAAAGTGTTTAGTTATTTAATTTAATCGGCCACAGTCGACCATTAAACATCCGTAAATGCTTTGCTTAATACAGTTACTCATAAGCATTTAAATTGCTACACCCTACACCATTTGTGGCGCAGTAATTTTTGATCGAACGGTTGTAACACCAAGAAGGACTTGAGATAGGTCCACCCTTCATTATACCGAACGATTCAGAATCATTTTTTGAATCAATCTAAGCTTCTATATCCATCTGAGTTTTGCGTTGCATGTGTTCTTCTCAATCTACAAGTCGCATTTTTGACATATTTTGATACAATTTAGTACCTAGACGTATCTTGGCCCAAGTACGAACACTGTTGAAAATGGTTCGGATCGGATCAGTGTTTCGACCACCGCACACATATAAAACCTTCTTGATAAGTAGTTAAATGAAAAAAAACAAGTAGTAATATTAAAGGGCGGTCTGTCCCAAGACCTTCTGAATTTTATACATTCCAACAAATTTAATGCACGCTATGCTATAATTGGTGTAGGGTGCAAAAAGCTGTTTTAAGCAAATTACAGACATATATATGTAGTATTTATATTTTCGTAATATATATATATATGTATATATATCTACATATATTATATATTATTTCTCACACAAATATTGAGTAATTTTTGAATATAAAGCTGCTTTAAAAAGTTTCAATTTATTGCTTAAATATTTTTTAATCGAAGAAACCTCCAATTAGTGAACTTGATGAGAAAATTGAGCCGTTGAGAATTTTTCGTTGCCAAATTAATTTTATAGGTGACAGTCATCTGTTAGAGTAATCTGAAAAACAATAAAACATATCCGATTTTCCATATATATATTCTGTGTACCGTTCGATAACGATCGCTCACATGTACATGTACAACCACGTCGATATAATCGCATAATGAAATAGTTTCTATGTAACTTAAGGATAGATTTTTACATAATTGCCGAATTCAGACTATAACAACCGAGGATTACTTCTTAATTCAATTGAAACTTTTTTAAGTTAAACTAATAGTAAACAAGCAGACATAAATCGATTTTGCTAGTTAAGGACATAAGCAGGCAACAAGCCATCTCTAAAGTGTTTGACAGTAAGTATTAAAGAGCAATTAGGATAAATACAAAATCATTTACTTACATACAATAAAACCGCCCAACAATGTAAAGGTGATTAATAAGCCCAAATCTAACATATGCTTGCAAGCCATCATTAGTAGAGTGTGTGCAAACAAAGCCATTATAAATCGTATGAGCTCACATATGATCATTGGTATAAGGAAGTATTTTTGTATCTAGAAATACATAGCCAATCAAGTGAAAGTTTCGCTTGCCTTAGAGCAAATTTTTAATACCCACCACCTCATAGCATAATGCCCACCTAGCATAGCAGTCATCAAACTGTTTTATAATATGCAAACGATATTGGAATCTCTACACATTTTTGTGCCAATCTTCTGCTCTATAGTAACTGTTACAACGTATAATTTACGAACAACAATATTTCAATTTTTTATGTTCGAGTGCATTTGCCGTCACACGACCGGGACCAAAGAGGAATACCAATATTCAAGCTAAATAGCGCGAGTATGTCGCATATCAGAAATATTTTAAATTTGTTCGGCCCGGCCAAAGTGAAGTGTTGTTTGAATTTGAGAATTGCTTTGGAATCATAAGTAAATAATAAAAAAGAAAAAATTAAATTGATTTTACTTTTCGGATAGGGTGCATCTATGCTATCCTTTCATAGCAACAAAGTTTCTTTTAAATTTACACCATGAGGTTTATTTATGGAATAGGATCGCTTTCTCCGAAACCTTTATAAAATTTCGTGATCGGTTTTTTATTTTTTTTGGAGTCAAAATATATCGAGAAATGAATTAAATTTTATCGTTGTGTTCGCAGCAAAGTGATATTAGACACAAAAGCATCTCTGAACAGTTTTTGGCGGATTTTTGTGACGGTATTATGGAATTCTATTCCGCCCGTAGGTTTTTCCAAACGGATAATGTATGATGCCATTCAGTTGGCGGAAGAATCCGATCGCTCGAACCTAGGAACAGTATTTCTTCACACACGTTTTTACTGTGCAATAATTCTCTAAGTTTTCCTGACAACACTGAGTCACTGCTGCTAGCATAGATTACGGACCTCTGATGTTTTATTCGAGTGTTTTCTGTTTCAAATATTGAATGTTGTGTTACAGTTGCTTAGGTGATTTATAAACTGTCAAAAGGGAACACGATAGCAGGAAGATAGCAAATGCTTTGACAAATACTGAAAATTGAAATATAGAAAACTACTCTTCATGACTTATCCACATCAGGGTCTTTTTGATGGTATATTGCATCTTGGAATGTTATTGATGAAAAAGTGCAATAAGCAACTTTGGCCACAGTAGCCCGCCGTGTTAAGAGTAATGAATTCGTTCATGTTAGAAACTGTTTACTACTAAAGACGCTAGGACTATTCTGTACTAAACTGTACTAAGCCAACGCGTCTATCCCGCAAATCAATCTTTTTAAAAAACTTATGCCACTTAAGCTTAAAGAGAGTGATAAATTTAGTAAGTAAATCAATGGTTTTTGGTTTGATGGTCAACGAATTGGAAGAAACAATGATTTCTTATGCTTGTTGCTACCGCGCCCTCTTGCCGTCTTCTTAATGATATCGAATATTTCGAGTTGGCAAACACAAAATTGGGGTGGAAGTCTGGCGAATTATGGCTTCCTTTAAGCATGCACTTATGGGAAAATTAGGGCCCCGCAGCCTAGGTGGTGGGTGTAAAAATAATTTGTTTAAAGTCTAACCGTTAAGGCACCATAAGCTGCCGAAATGCTGGCTAACATGTGACCTATGAAATACATATGAAATGATATCAACAAATTTAATGCATCTGAAAAAGAAAAATATACATTTTTTCTTCTTTTTTAACAATTTAATAATAAATTTTTATTATGTTTACCTGATTTCATCATATCGTATAATTTTTCAGCCATTGAAGAATGAATGATTTCGCTATTGGTTGCATATATCTCAACAATTGGATTAAATATACTCAGACCGTATGCTATTAACATAACCCATGGCACAAATAAACTTAACTGTTACAATTATATAGTTAAAGGGAATAATTAAATTAAATTAAATAAATAATTAAATACGAAAACCGCGAAACTTACAAACGTTACACTCGATATAATTAAAACTCCCAGTCGTACAGAAAAACAAAAGAAAAAATTTTCCATCCAAATCATTTTTCTTTTTCTTTCTTTTTTTTTTTTTGTATTTTACAATAACTTTACAATAAAAGTCTTAATTTCTCAAATCTTTCTGTTAATTAAATTTTATATATTTTTTTGTTTGCTTGATTTCCATTATTACAGTGCATTGTAATGAAAACTTCCCAAGTTGTTCTCATTGCTTAATTTTTCCCTTAGCAAGATTAAAAGGCACAAATCATTAGAGACAGCAATAGAACATGAAAACACTTTTAACCTTATCGTGCTTATGCCTATTTGTGCAACGTTAATTGTTTAATTTACCTTATTGATATTCTCTATTTTATGCATTTGCAAGTGAATTAGATTTTAAATTATATTGAAATTTTTTAGGTTAAAAATTGCTTTTCTGTGAATTACTTCCCAACGATATAATGAGTAAATTTGAAAGTAAATTCTTTTTGGTAATGAAATTAGTCACCTAAGAAAAAAGAACCACTGGATCGCCGGAGAGTGATTCTTTGCCCTTTACACTTGTTAAAAATTTTTTTATTATACGTTGCACCATTTCTGGTACAAGAGCGTGTTAACTTTATGCGAATATATGGGATACCCGGAAGGACTTGAGATGGACTGCTGATGGACATGCTCTATTTGATCGATGGAATCAGAATTAATTTCTGAATCGATCTAAGTTTTTCTGCCTCTCTTCGAATCGATCAGTACAATAAAGAGTGGTTTACGTCTTTCTATTTACTACATGTCCGGGCAAATATAATATGCCTTGTACCAAAAATAGTAAAAAAATTTATTGAGTTTGTTGTAGAACTTTAAATTTTTACTTGACAAAATCTTCAGTTTCAAATGTCAGCTAAATCTGGCCAAACATGCGCTTACCGTGACCAAAAGAAAACCTCGGTTCTTGATCTGAAAAACTATCTGCAAAGCGCAGCCAAATTTGAATGATCTGAAATACGATTGATTGATTAGGAATACGAATGTTAACTAACGAAACTCTTTATAAAATTCGCCCCAAGCTGAATGTATTCCTTTACTTCCTTTTCCAATCACATAAGCTTAACTTTCTGAAGTGAGTTAAATTACAAAGATATTTGACTAAAATCGAAAATAGCTGATCCCTAAAAACAAGCTCCTCAAATTTCCAGTCGCTTAGCAATATTGTAATTTTTAAGTGTATCTCTACATAAGTATATCAAAAATATTTGTTTTTAATTTTTGTTTCAATCTCTTTTTCTGGACATATATGATAACACTATAAAAATCATTTACTTTTAAAAGAGGGAAAGAGAGAGAGAGAGAAAGAGGAGGATGTGATTATATGCATGCGTGTGATGATTTGCCGACAAATGTGCGATAAATATGCAACAGCGTCGCCAGCTAAAAAAAGCGCAACAAAACACACACATGTTCGGGATCAGCACAACATACAAAGTCGAGTGACTTATTACAGTTTTTGTTTGTTATTGTTTGCGGTTCTAAACACTTTTATGTCGATTACTTAAGCTACCCGTATTGTAAAATAAGAAGCAAAGGTTTTGTAAGGAGGCATGCTATCGAGCTTATCACAATTAAGGTTTGTAACTCGCCTAGGACAAGCAAAACAAATCGTGCCTTGTTTCCTTTTATTCGCTGCCAAACGACTGACACTTTGTTTATCCCCTCCTGATTGAGAACGCAGCTTCCGGAAGCTTTATTAATCTTTGGTGCTGGGTGTAAAATATGAAACATAAAACTTCATCAAATTTATCTCCTTAAGGCATGGAGCACTCATTGGCCTTTCTACTGGCAGTCTTGCCGTTGAACAGCTCGAATATCGCCTAGGGCTACATAAACCGCAACTATTCGATTTTCAAAGTAAAAAGTAGTTCCTTTCATTTTGTCTAGTTATGCTTGTTGCAATAGCTTTTTCCAATTTCATTGTCATTGCTATGGAAAGCGATAGTCGTGATTTCAACCGTTTCCAGTCTTGTGGATAAGAATAAGACAACAAGTATAATAACACAAGGTGTTTACAAATTATGAAGCGCAACATAAAAAGCTGGCCATGTTTGATATGATAATGATTAGAGGAAAAAATCATTTAAGAAATAATATCAGAAAATGCTGTGGAAATATAAATTAAGAAAACGAACTCTAGAGGTGATTCTTACAAAAGTTTCACAGAAAGTTCGTGAGGAAACTTTTTAATATTAATAATTTTTGATGGCAATGTCTATAGTATTCACTGTCTCCTCACGTTTGAATACATTTGACGACGAACGATGCAACAGAAAGGCATCATCATTTACAGTAAACTCATAGCCTAAGATTTGCAACAACCAAACTAAAAGATTGAGAATAAAACAGTTTTCTTAAAGTATTCGAATGTGATTTTAAAATGGCGAACATGAGGAACGATCAATAAAGAATTCCTCACAAAGTCTCTTGTTCGTAAAAGGTTCTTATTCGTTGACCCTAATATACCAAAAAAACGAAAGACCTTCACGTCTTCAGTGTCTTTACTATTGAGAAGACATCTGCATTATTCAGTTCTTCTCGACTCCTCGGTCATATGTTATTATTGCAATAACTCTTTTTTAGTTTCAGGCAGATGTGGTTTACGGTATGCATTAAAAAATGGCACGATCAAGTATCTGTTCAGTTTTAATTTATATAAAAATCAAAGCGTTTACGTGAAGGGATTATCCAAGTGAAGTTTATGTACCATAAGCAAAAAGTTTTCAATATACAGTCAAACCTGTTTTTGTGCGGTCTTTTTTATGCGCTTTTTTTGTGCGATTCATTTTGTGTGATTCTTTTTTTTGTGCGATTCTTTTTGTGCGATTCTTTTTTTTGTGCGGCATATGAATATCGACACATTGAATTTCGCCGAGAGGTTACTGTGTTGAACTGTGTTGGCATCACTTTTTTTGCTATCAGTGTGTATGTACACATTGCAACAGCCATTTTCATACCTATTGCATCAGCCTATTTCATTAGGCATGCTCAGTGTTCTTATGCATATATCGCATTAAAAATTTCTCCTTGTTTAAAATTAGAAATTAAAATTTTTTTAAATGTTTCAATGTGTAATTTAATTATTTATTTTGTTTGGAAAGCACTTTCTTGCTATTTCGTAAAGCTTTGACATATTTTCTAAGTGAGACTTTTTTTATGCGGTCCCTCTCTACCGCATAAAAAAATTTTCTTTAATATGCTGTGCAAAATTATTTCTTATAGCTATTTATGAAGTTTTTGAATATTTTTTTTTGTGCGGTTTTTTTTCTGCGGTCCCTATCTACCGCACAAAAACAGGTTTGACTGTATCTTGCGTTGGGAAAATAATTCAAACCCAATGATAAAACATAATAAGTGGGTGATGTTTGACGAGCAACATTTCTCGTCTTATTCGCGGGATGGGGAACTTTATTTTCTTAACGATAGATTTCATTATACAAACTAGTTTCTGAGTTTTCCGCTCGACGAAAATCATCGCCATTCGCGAACTCAGTAGGGCTTATTTAGCCATTCTATCGGAAAAAAACGCCAAGATTTCTGATTCATCTCATTCTTAATATCATAGTTATGACGTTCCACAATTTTGAATTAAAGCGTTCAATATTATTAAGCCCGTGTATCCGCCGTGCAAAGCTAAAGAGACGCTTTCTTTTCCTACATTAAAATGTTGTGCCGTTATATAGTTATAAACAATTCAGTAATGGCCCCGTTGCCCGATGTGAAACTTGGCATTGCCGTTGTATATAAAGTTCCACAATGAATTACTCGGGCGACTTTTCAAGGCGAACCAAAAAAATCCCAACGAAGCGCTTTCTGTCACAACATTCGATTTTCTTTTCAAAAACTCTATTATTCCCGGATCTTATGAAAGAAGATTTTTTTTCTGCTGCTTTCAAGTAATGAGTTCGTTGCATACCAGAGATTCAAAGCCACTACCTTATGTAATTAATTACATCACAATCCTCGTGATATAGAGGATATTAAGTTTGTGTGAGTATATGTGGCCTCTTACTCTATCGAATTGACTTAAGATGGTCTGTCTATCCGTCAGATGTCTATCCCCGTATTTATGTATTCTACCTACAGCTCGAAGTTTTTAAGATATTTTGATGAAATTTAATACACTTGCATGTTTTGGCCCAAGGACGCACGCTGTTAATATGAATTTGTATGGATAGGATTTAGACGACGTTCACGATTGAGTATCTTGCTATACGAGAGCTTTCATAAAAATGATGTGTTCACATAAGAATAGTGTACAATTTTTGATACATTAATTAAGTGAAATGGTGTGGTCAGCCTTGCTCGAATACAGCATCTTCTTTACAGCAGTTTCTTTTTTTCTCTTTATTTTGCTAGTGTCCATCCTAATTTTAGTCTTAGTGAATGAAATTGATTCCCTTTTTATTATAGTTAACTCAAGCATTTCTTCACTAATTTTCGAATCCAATTTAGTCAGAATGTTTAACTAAATATCTGGCTACTATTTTATCGAATAGACAGTAAGTCGTTCATGTCATGCGGTATTAGTTTCTGATCAATTTTATTCACTTCGGCTTGAAACTGGACAATCGAGCTTAAACCATTCTGTGATGGGTTCTCGGAATTATAAATACGGTTTATTATCGACTGTTGAGCAATTTATTGGATTCTTTTGAGAAAAATGCACATACAAGGTTTAGAGACACATCATTGGATATTTTGTACTGTCACTACTGATGGTCTCCTCAAGTCCATCTCGCTCTTGAAAGTTTGGAGCATACGCTCAGTTGGGTCGCGCCGGAAAAGCGATCTTATCCCGTTCACTCTTACATCAAGTGTTTGGCCGCTACTACCACATGCCTTACGGGAAAAAACGAAAACAATACATTCCCACTTTCCAGTGATGGGTAGGAAAGCAATCACGATCAGGCAAAGATTTGTGCAATTGAAGTGCGCCACCATGCATATGCAATGTAAGCAAAAATTGAAAGTAAAGAGACTCTAGAAAACGAAGTAGCGAACTATTACTATTGCCTATAGTCAGTAATATAGCAAAAATTCAAGAAGTAAATGAATGAATATTAGAAGCTTTGAAATTGAACTATATATCAAATTAAACAAATAATTGAACAAATATAAAACATAAATGATTAGATAATACTGAATAAAAATAGAAAATATATTGAAATGTATAACTAAGAACGGCATATGCAAAAAGAACTAAGTAAATTATATGCTAATGCAAAAAATAAATTTTTTAAACTTTGTAATCCACTTGCGGCAGATTTCTTTGGACGATAGAAAATACGAACTATTTTTCTGATACTGCCATTCGATAGCCAACCCGAATGACTACGAGCTTGTTCACTGTCTTCTATCCTGTCATCTTCTTTGCCTCACCGTGCAAAGATTTATTGGTGTAGGATGCTTGTTCTTGTTACACAAGTATTTTACCGGCAAAAAGATTTGTTTGCATTTACGAAGTATTTGTATATTTATATAATTTTGTGAGCCCACAATTATAAAAAAAGAAAAAACACATTTTACATACTAATTTTTGCTTCGGTTGTTTTTTTTCTTCGAAAAGTATATTACATCTAAACAATTTGTTCTATAATAAAAATAAATTAATAAAAATGTAGTTTTTTATATTCTATAAAATAAGTGTTCGCTCATTTACTTCTCCTTTAATTTGCCAGAATTCGAAGTTCGCTTGTTCACTCCTCCTTTAATTTGCCAGAATTCATAGCAACGATTTATATTAAAGTATGGAGTTAATCGAAATGGCCTTTGAAACAAATTATTTATTATTCAGTTGGCAAAAAAAATTTTACCGTTTAATGGTTTTAATCTTCATTATTCAGAAAAGTTATTGTATATATATATATATATATATATATATATATATATATAAAAAGTCATGTCTATATCAAATGTTTTGACACTTAAATTGAAAATTTTCCAAAAGGTGGAGTTAATCACTTTGTGCATTGAACGCGTCAATTTTGGCTATGTGTTTCAAGAGTAGACTTCAGTAGTAATTCGCGTTAAGACATTTTAGCAGAAAAGATGTCAATTAAAGCTATAGAAGAGCTGACCATGACGAGTAGATGTGATAGTCTCTACTGGGTATTTTGTAGGAAACTGTATTGCAATGAACGTGGAATTTGTAAGGAAAAAGAGGAGTAAAATAAAACGTTGTAATGTTAATAGCGGCAACAAATAAACATGATTACGAACAGTGGTGAGCAACTGATTGAAAAACTACGCGGGGAAGAATTCATTTGCTTATCACTGCGTCCACCTGAAGCCGAGGGGATATGATATGAATTAAATAAACAATTTTCATTTTAAACTAAAGAAATTAAAATCAAGTGCAATAAGATTTGATGAAAGTTTCTTTTTTAATATTTTATTGAAATTTATGCTTAATTACTTTTTAGGAATATCTATCTCTCTTACTTTACTAAAATTCAATCACACACGACAATTTGTATTTTTACCGTATAATATATGATATTCAGGTATTATCTTTTTACGGATTAATGCATTTGTAGGTGCTACGTACTTAAGGCGTGGATCCTTAAGATTGACTCTCTTAATACCAGGGGTATGTACTAAGAAGGCGGGATGTAAAACGTGATACTTAAAGCCTAATAAACACATGGCATAGTTCTAAAAACAACAACATTAACAAAAAGCAAACAATTCATTATCGATGAATTTCTCATAGATTTAAATTAACATTACTTGTATTCGCTTATTTGATTGTCCCTCCCAAGTAACGCGTTCATCGAACATCGGTTCTCGGTTATCACTAATATAGAACGGCTCCCAAGAAGCAAATTTACCCTCACGTTTAGACACCGCAATGATTTCCATGGTGTTAACATTTGTCCTATTTAACCATTTACCGTAACCCGGCACCATATGGCAATTTTTGCAAGTAAACTTATGAAAGGGTATTGCGAGGTCGACTTTCAACATTTTTAACAATTCCGCTTTATTCTCTGGCACCGAAGACGTCTTAGCGACCTCGAACACTGGTACGGGAAAAACTCTGTTGTGAATATATATATTGTATATATATTTATATTTCCTTCAAACATTAATTTCACTTTTATACCCACCACTCAGGAGGTAAAATGATCTAAGCTTCTGTTTCCGTTTTTAGTATCGGGGTATATAAGTCAAGCAAATATCTTTCTTTAATCGGTGTTACGTTCATAGTCAATCAAAACTCTACTGTCGTCAGTATTAAAGTATTCAAGAGCTGCACTGCACTTGCACTGCACTCTTTCCAGTTTCAAAGTCTGCAAGTCACAGTGACATGCTACGTCCAAAGTGGTTCACACAACAACTAAGGAACGGATGTAATCTCACAAAACAATGCAAATTTCAAAATTCTATGAACCAAATCACCACTCGGTTCAAAAGTACGACACGAAAAGCAAACATAACCGAGTTATCGATCAAAGTTCTCTCTAACGGAAGTTTCGTACCTAACGCTTTACCTTCTCTTCCCCTAGGAAAGGTGGTGGATATAAAAGATTCGTCCTTAGGCCGACATATACATTACATTATTGCTTTTACCTATATTCTTCCTCTTCCTCTCCATTGCCTCTAGACGGTATTAGCGCTTTGTTATGTAATAACATTCTAAAGAATTGTTTTATTAAATTTTTACTAGGAAATAATTCAATATCGCAGACAAATACAAAATGTGTATTAGCTGCTTCTCGTGCTATATTACGGCCCACATTAATCGGGTATAGTAATTTATTTTTAGTTTTATACATGTCGGCTCGAGTGCTGTTCTCATAAGGTTTCACCGAACTCTGACAATCGTACGGCCAATTATCGATTTCTTCTTCAGTTATAGGCAAATAGTCGGGCATATGGCGGCTTGGAAAATAAATGTGGAAAGTCACATACTTTTGTATCAATTGAGACTCCTTTAAACAATTGCGTACATATTGTATTGAATCCATTGCAATTTTGAAATCGTAACCAGGCGCAAAAATTGCAAAACTTACCGGAGCGAACCATCTAAAAAATTAAATTGTTAACATTATGACAAATAACATGTGGCTATATACACAATTAAATCTGGTTTGTACTCCCATATGAATTTAATTATAATTATATAATGAATCACCAATAAATTCCATTTCAAAAGTGATGTTTCATAAACAAATTGAACCTAACATCAAGGTACGCAAATACGACTTTTTTAAAGCCAACTATTTATATATCACTGCATACTGAGTTAAGGATAGCAAACTGAGATTCGTATATTACTAGTCTTTGGGGACTTTTATATTGCTTTTACGGCACATAAATTACACGTAGGTGCCCTCCATGGTGGACGAAATAACTTAAACGGCTTACAAACTATAGAGAAGTATGGAAATAGTCTATTTGAGAAGTTCAAGAGAAACGGTTGCCTTATTGCTTACCCTTCCTACTTGGCTGCCAGGCAGAGATTCGTTGCCCCCAACAATAAGTGTTACTGACCCTTTTTATAAAATATGAGACTGAGTTTTGAAAAAAAAAAAAAAAAACTCAAAAGCAGGGTTTATGGTTTACCGTCACATATGCATCTTGGCGATATGGAAGCATATGATCCGAACTTTGTTGCAAAATTTCTTGAACAATCGTACACTCATCGAAATGAGTATTAGTTAGTTGAAATTCTATTAGAATGAGAAAAAAGTTAGTTGAAGTTCCATCAAAGTTATGCGGATGTTGATAGACTAGACCTATTATATTGAGAATTACGGCATTTCTTCCAATATGAAATTCTCGAATTCTGAAGTTTTCAACGCCATATACAGATAAATATTTTCCTGTCTTCCATAATTTCGTCTGCCATTTACAATTATTACAGAAATTCAGAAATTTGTTTGGCTTGAGAGGACTACGATTAGATACCAATAGACAGCATTATCTCCCTATAAGCAACATTTACTTTTGAACCATTCACCTACCCACTCGTCAAATCAGAAGGTTGGCTCTTGGAATAGACTTTTTATTGAAGCTTGTTCAAGGTGATATTTCGCAATCAGTCAGCTTTGAAGAATCTCAAAGAATTTCATCCGTCGCTTCGCTTGTTGCAATGTACGACTAATTATGAACTCTTTTCTCCCTTAATTTAATAACTTTTGTTATCTATTTTCGATGGACGATTCAAACGGTTATATGAAGTCCACTTTGCTTAATTTACTCCTCGTCCATATAATTCGTCTTGGGACGAATCTTTGACTCCCGCGGTTTCATTCTTTCCAACACATGATTATCTCGAGCTCCTTTTCCACGTCCTGATAGAGAATGAATCCTTCATTTGACCATTTACTTGGTTTACCATCTAATCCCCACTGCTTAAGTGATGAGATTTACTTTGCTTATAAGTCTTAACTTAGGACAATTATTTTACTTTTACTTTATAATCATTTTTATTAATAATATTGAATTAAATGACCTCATTTATATTAGAAAATTCCAGGATTGACGGTCATTGCATTTTACTTAGCTTACTGTACTCGAGTGAGATATGAACCTTTGCTTACTCGGTTTAATGCATTGAAATTGTATTTACCTTTGTTACCTTTGCTAGTTTGTCTTGTATTGGCTGTTTTATCTAATGGTATATTTAAATAAATAAATATAAATGTATTTACTAAACATATTGGAGTTCTTGCAGTATATTAATTATGTACGGTTAGTTGGATCTTTTTTAATTTATCTTTGCAAGCGTGATTGTACCCTCCATATACTTCACAAAATCTCTCCGGTCGCACTCCGGCCATCTTAGCCATTTTCTCCAGATTTATTTTGTAGGTAGCATTTACACCTCGACACCCACATATACATGACGGTTTGTTTACAGATCTTTCCGTTTAATAATTCATCATCTATTTGTTATCAGAGTCGGCCTATTCAACACTACACTTGCTTTCGTCTTTCTTCTCAAGTCCATTCTATTTTAGAACGAGGAAATATTAATCTATAATTGCTCCGAAAGGTGGACGTAGGTTTTTCCAGTACAAAGAAATGCATATGAGCAGACGCTACAAATTATTTACAATCGTAATCTGCGTAAAAATCTGATTCATTGTAGGTTTGTTGTAAAGTTTAAAAAGTTTCAGAAAACAGACTGAAACCTGCAGTTGCTTGCCACAAGTCATTTTAAAAAATCGGTTATATACTTCTACAATACGATTAAATTAAAACAGAAAACAAAACAAGTAAATATTATACAGTGGGCCACAGCCTACTAATAAATACTCAAAACACGTCGATGTACCAATTCCATCTAAATATCTGAACGGTTGCGACCTGCAGATTGGACACACAGACAGACAATCTTAAATCGCTCAAAAATCACTTTCTGAATAAAACGTTGCTCGATCTCAAGTCCTTCTGTGTGTTCTATACGTCTGCACAAACTACATACACCCTTCCAGCACAGAAAAATTAATGTTTTTGTATTAATATAATCTACAATCCATCTGTATGCGTATTATCAACTCACCGCTTAACCACTTCGGGCAAGTTATCAAAAAAGGTGTAATCTCCGTTTGTACAATACGTTATTGCCTCCGAACAACCTATTTTTTCACTTAAACGCCCACGTATGAAATTTTTTAATAACCAATAGTTGCCATATTGTCGTTTCTCGAAAATTAAAGGACGATCTTGACATCCCAGTAGAACTTTAAGACGTTGAGATATATTATTAGTGAAATTTTTACTAACTTTTGCCGCTTCTTCGCGTTTAAACGTAGCCAGTTGTGAACTGTTCAAAACATTGTTTAACACTAAGAAACACGAACAGCACAAGAGAAACACTAAAAAGAAAACCTCAAAATAACGTTTTAAAACCAAAGAGTTTAAAATCATAATTAAACTTTTCTCAAAAATAAAAATAGTTTTTTTTTGTTTGTTTTAACTATTAAACCGTCTATTAGACGATGACGTTGGCTACAAACTAAATACTCGAAAAAAGTACAACGAATTCCTTTATCAAAAATTCAGTTATATTAGAAAATGCATCGCATAATACTTGTCTGTTAATTAGGTATGTAGATAAACGGGGCGAAGCGTGTTTTAATGACTAAAAACAAAATATAATGTAATAGAAGATCGGCAATTGTCGTATACAATTTCACATCATTATTTATTGACTTTAATCACAATTAAGTATGGATAAGATAACATTCTCACTTTTCGTTTATGTGCTACGAAAGTTTTACCCTAAACTGGTGAAATATGTATAATTGATTTTTTTTTTTTTAATTTTATGTTAAGTGTATAAGTTATAAATTTCCCGTTACCGCACGCTCTAACATAGGCTGCAGGAGCGTTGGAGTCCAATTTTTAAAACTGCTATCACTTAGCATGCAAACATTACGATCGATATAGCAATAGAGTTTACCGACCCGATAGATTTGTTTGCCAAGTTCCCGTCTGCCGGGCAGGGGAGCGAAAATGATGCCACGCTCTGAACATTTACGGGAAACTAGTTCCTTAAATTCGACTACAGGAGCGCCAGACATTTGCAAATCAACTAAAGCTTGCGGCGTTGGTGGGGGTTGAGGAGGCGGTGGCGCTGCACTCGGTCCATCTTTTATAACTGAATCCGTAACACGATGCATAATTTCCAAAGCTCTACGCAAATGTTCTTTGATATTGGGCTCATTTAACAAATCGTCCGAGAGCATACTTTTCCAGCCCGTATACCAATTGGATATTTCCACATAATCGGGGGACTGATTCAACCACAGAACTAGAACTTGCATCCATTTAGGAAAGAAGTGCTTATCTAGCATGCGAGCCATTTGCGCAGTTGGTATTAATTCATGCCATTCCCACACTTGACTCCAAGGTTCTAAAATATTTAATAAAAATATTTGAAACATTTCATCGAGATTTATTGCTAAACATACCCAAATCTTGTTGCAGAGGATTGATAATGAAATCGTTTAAAACCATTAGCAACTTTGGTATTATGTGCTGCATTAAAAAAACCTCCATTTCCTGCGAATCAAAGGCACCCTTCCAAGGTGTGAGCATAGCCCGAGCTGAACGATCTTGCGGAATCCACGCTTGCAAAGCATTACCTAACTTCTCGCGTATAGTCGGATAGATAAACTCTTCCATTTTATGTCCTAATATAGAATTCCATGGTAAAATCCATATATGTATGGGTACTGTATCAGTCAAAGGATCCCAAGATTTTACGCCAACATGCAAACGCGGCAGTACCAATTGCTCCAATACGGAGTCTAAGATCCAGGAAGGAAACAATGGAGCCCAACAATCTAGTAAAGCAGCCATTATTTGATGATTTTTTGGCTGCCAATGTTCAGCACAAGCCCGAAATGAAGGTATTACACCAGCCCAGATCAACGAGGAATACGGATCAAATATATTAGTACGCGCCAAAGACTGAGGATCAGCGAAAGTCTCCAAAATAGCTCGCCATTTTCTAATTAGATCCACATGCAAAGTGGGATTTTCTAAAGGTTGCCAATCTTTTAAAGCATCTTTAACTAATGGGGCTATTACACCCGCAGCTAAATCGTCCAAACAGAATTCCTTATATTCGGCTGCGTATTTTTGCTGCAATTCTATAAATATTTGCTCGGCACGTTGCAAGGTTAATTTATCTTCGCCGGAGGTTAGCTCATTAACCAGAGCTAAAGCTTTTTCTAAAGTGTCAATGTGGTCTTCTTCCAATCTAACAATTTCCAGCAATTGCTTTCTCTCCTGTTCTAAAGCGGTAAAGCGCTCAGATGCGCTATGCTCGGCTGAGTCCAAAGTTATAATATCTTGTTCGCACATATTGACTATTAAAGACAAATTATGCATTAATTCTGGAAGAGCAAAGCCTCCCGAAGTATTGATAGTTTTTTTCTGAGCGTCATGAGTAAGATCATAAAGATCTTCTTCTTGAACTTTAGATTGGCTTAAAGCATGATATCCACTTAAAACGCGCTTCTCGGGACCAGTCATATCGATTACTGGAACGTTTCCCAACTTTTTGCTATTTATAAACGAAAACTCTTAAAGAATCTCTTCATGTTAACATGTACAAAATGTATATTCGCTTCTAACGAATCTTACATGCCCACCACCTTTTGGCGAGTAGTTTTCGTGACAAATTTGACTAATGATTTTTAACTTACCCTAGTTTTTGTATTTTCTTAACGCAGTTTGAATGGTGGAGTTCGTACACGGATTGGAACCATATTCAAACTTGCTTTCGCAAGGCAATCAGAGATTCCTTGGAGGCTTTTCGTTTTAAATTGATAACAAATTTCTGACTGTTATGAACTGAATAATTATTATTGTATGGAGGGTGGTGAGCATAAAAATTGCAATCAAAGTTATACCTAATTTTATCGCCCAACATAAAATTGGATCTTTTACCCTTCTCCAGAACCTCTTCCACAGTCTTATAGTAATATTTTTTTGAATTCTTCTCGCTACGGCTGTCTGTCTTCTTCCACTTATTTAGTTTCTCTTTGAACTCTTTAGCATCTCTTATATCTTCGTCAAGTTGTGCTTTTCCGGTTACTGAAGCAGAGGTTTCTGGACCATATGCTCCTATTGCACCACGTCCTTTGCGCACATGAGCTTCCACCGGTTGAGCAATACCTTGTAGATCTTTACCCAAACCTTTCCCCGGTTCGTAACCCATTTGCAGCAATAGCTTGGCTCCAATACCACGAGTATGCTGTTCCCAGGCGCCGAGAGATTTGACATTACTCCGGTAGCTTGGTTGACCCATCGGCTTTGTCTTGCTATTTTTAATCTGCTCTTCTTCGGTGGACTCATTACTAGAATCCGAAGATTCATCATTATCAATAATTGCAGCACCGCTACCAAAACCCGGCCTAGCTTCTAGATCATCTTCTTCATCGGTAATAGGATGATCATCTTTGCCATCATCAACTGGTTTTTTCTTTCCAGATTGTTGTATTCCACCAGCAACAAAATTTACCGGTGCAGTATAATCTTTGGACCGCTTAGCTTTCGAAACGCCACCGAAACCCGAACGACCTTTGCGGCTTCGGCGACCGCTTGTTTCTTGTACGTCCTCATTGTCACTATCGTCGGCCCAAATACCTTTATTTTGAGTAAGTTTTTAAGTAATGTAATAGAAATTTATATTGTTTTTATTTCTTACCATATATTTGCTGCTGTTTGCTAAGTTTCTTTCTTGGCCTATTCGGATTAAATTCATTGTCGATATCATAATCAGTTATTTCGAAACGTTCATATTCGTTGTCTGACATATTTAAGTCACTAATTAATATAAATTTACTATTTGAGATTCAATTCACGAAAAACTTCCTTATCAATAATGGAACAAAACAAATTCACTTTTTATATTTCTTTTGTTTACCAGTTATGCAGTCTCTGTAGTTTGATAAAATCAGGGATGTTCTGTACGGGATTATGGAAGAAATGTTTTTTTCATAAGCTTTGGCAATCATATATTTTCATATGTGTGTAAATCAGCTGTTAAATTTAAGGTGAATATAATATATGAAAAGAAAAGAATAAAAAGTTTTAATTTTCGCTTTTTTAATAAACATAAAAATAAAAAAAAATTTGTTTTATTTTGAGAAATTGAAATACTTTAATCACGCTTATTGAGAAACAATAGAAGAAATTTGCTTAAACATATGTTTAAGAATCAGGTGATTCAATCCTGTAATATCAGATATGTTTTATGTCTTCTTCTTCTTTTGCTGCTCAACAAATCAATAACCGAAGATTTTATTGCCATCTCTGTGTCTTATATGTGTTATATTAAATAAAAAGAAATGAACGAAAACAATTTTCGTATAAGTATAAGCATCCAGTTTATTTCTTGTTGTTGGCTTGGTCACTGAAATCGCTTTTTGAATAAATTTTCTTCGCAAGTAAAAGCGCTAATTACTTATAAAATTAGACATCCAACAATATTGAAATAAAATTTAAATCATAATTAAATGTAACAAAATTAATATATAATACTAAATGTAAATAACAAATTATCTTTATAATTACGAGCAATCATAAACTAAAATAAGCGCATAGTAAGAAATTTTTAATAGCAACAACCAATAATATTAGCACGTGCTTTTTTTACCAAAATAAAAAACCAAAAAGACATATTGCAGATTTGTGTACGTATGATGACGTTTTGGTAACTACCATCAAATTGTATGATAGCTACGATTCATTGATCACTAATAGCAAAAAAAAAAAAGAAAAACATAGTAATATTAATGTAAATAGAAAGAAGGAGGAAAGTAATAAATCCAAATTTCAAAAATATTTTGAAAAGACAAAAATAGCTTTTGTGGTATTCTAGCAACAACAATATAAACAACTTTCACATAACAAAAACAACAATTAAAGGAAAACTATTTGCATATTAACAAAAGCTAAATTTAATATTTTTTCATAGAGTAACGTAAAAAAGAAAACAAAATTTACAAAAATGGTGCAGGTAAGCTGAAAACGTGAACTTATTGTTTATATGTAATTAGAAGAACATGGAAAATGTTGAGATATTTCTTAAATGTCTGAAATCTGGTCAAGGCGTATGAACTCGGGGTTGGAATATGCTTGTAGTATATATTTTTTAAAATCTGTCGGACTTATCTGTGTGAATTTGCATATATTTAGCTTGACATAAAAACGCTATAAAGCTTATAAACGATAACAGAAAACAAATTAAAGCAGGGAAGTGTCGGAATATTGCTAGCAATAGTTTAACTAATCGACATGTCAATTATTAAACAAACATGCTGGAAACTTATTGAGATGCTAGGTATCCAAGAATATATATTCGTATTTTTGTAACAACTTTGGATTTCCACCCATTCACATCATTAAAATCTGTATGCCTTCTATGCCTAATTGTTGTACTATGTAAATGAAATGAAATAGTTTTTTTTCGGAATACTAATTATCTTGTCTGAAAATATGGTTTACATATTAATTATATCATGTCAGAAAATGTGATATATCTTTGTTTTATCTCGTAGTTTGCTACTACCTTGATTCAATAATTCACAGTTATTGACAGGTATGTCTTTGAGATATTTCGCGGCTATAGCTCCTTCTTCAATTTCGCTGGCGAAGCCAAACAAAGGTGTTTCCTTGATATTCATCTTGACCAAAGTAATCCACTTAGCGGATTAAAAATACATGGTGCAAAATATAGAGTATTTGAAAAATTCAGTAAACACTATCATCATATGTAAAGTCGGATGAGGTCAAAACTTTCTATCTAAATATATACATTAATGCTTTCCGAAATGAAAATCAAATATAATTGTCTCGAAACACGTACTGATGTTTTTGTCCCTTTTCGTATGTATTTGTAAAGCCCAGATGCCAGAGGACCCATACTGTACATATACATATATACGTACATTTACAAGATAGTCGGCTTGTAATTTTACGGTGTAATTTTGAAAATGTCGAGATGTAAAACTTCAAATAGAAGGCCATCATAAAGATTCTTAACAAAAGGAATTTAACAAACATTTTTCACTTTTGCGGTGTATCGAGGGATATCGAGGACTCCATCCAAAATGAATAGAGCTTTGTTGCTCTTTTATTTAAGTATCATCTTTGCACAATCGATTATATTTTTTTATGTTATATCCCGAAATTGGAATGCTTCATAAAGCAGTCCTTAGAGAAAATAATAAAGCAAGTAAACAAAATGTATACGAATAATAAACATTTTACTTCACATTATGCCTGTGTAGGCTTTTACATCTTCCAGTCTTTGACCATATAGGAGATTATCAATTCTTGTTTCTATTGCGCCACAGAAAACAAATCATTTTCCATTCGAATTTCATTCCCTTTCTTTCTCACTTTTATTAGTTGTTTTTCGATTTCAATTCGAGTTCACTTCTTTATGTTGATTTTTTCCACTTAGAGAGGTCGTCATCATCGTGCGTATGTATATCTGCCTTTACATTAGCTTTCAGTGTATACGCGTCTTTGTTTGCGTCCATCTCTTACTGCACTTACCCGGTTTGTGTAAAATTTACCTTTAGCGTCGCCTATTTCGAAGAATAACAACGACCGACCTCCACATGCGTAGCCGCATACACATTCAAATTGGGATTTTATTTATGGCTTTTACTTTTATGTTGTTGATGATGCCAATGTTTGTTCTATGAAATGCATGTCGATTCGTTACTCTTAATATTTCTTTAGTTCTTTTTTTTTCTCTTCTCTTCCTTTTCTTTCCTTTTCTTGCTCTATTTTGGCATTTCTAATTGTAACTTGACATATCTCCTGACCTACCATTACATTCATTATACACATGTATGTATTTATTTACTATTGTTTTTCTTCTCGAACTGAGGGAATTATCTTGATGGGAAAATGCTGTTTATTTGCCTGCTTCGTTCGTCTCTTTTTACTTAAGATAATTATCATTTGGTTGACATTGGCTACCGCGTTACGTCTTCTTTTCCATTGCCATATAATCCGGATAATAAAGAAAGCTCTCTTCTCACATTTAGTTTATAGTTATATATAAATATGAATGACATTTTTCCCCATTGCTAATGCCTGCCCGATGTAGAAGTTGCTACCATATTAGCCACAAATTCAAAAATAGATCTTGCATTAGAGCAAATATAAATTTTCCTGACAGATTGGTTCGCGATCAGTTAGGAAAAGCCGGCGAGGGTAGAAGTTCACTTCTCATTTTCTCCCCGATTTCAAACGAAACTTTCTTTAGTTGAGTCATTGAAATTGCTTCGGTGGACGGTGATTTACCATAAGAGGTCGTATGATCAATAAAAATGTATTCCAGAGGAGATAAAAGCCTTCAAGTCGTATGTTTAGTTGATTTACTTTTGCCTTGAAGTAATGAATACGTATATAACTATATAATATAATATAATAATAGGATCGCAAGGAAATAATTTTGATTTTTTAATTTAAAGCAAAGATTATATTTTTCCACTTGTGGTACGAGGATATATTAAGTTAGTGCGGATATATGCGACATGCACAAAAAAGTTGAGATATTTTATTGTACTAAACGATTCAGATTCACTTTCTGAATCGATCTAAACATGTCTGTCCGTTTTTCTGTCTTGGTTTCTTAGGTTCAACCTACACGACGCAATTTTTAAGATATATCGATGAAATTTGGTATTCTGACCATACGCAATGTGTTTCGGCCCAAGGACGAGCGCTATTGAAAATCAAAGGAATGAAATTCAGAGAGGACTACTTTTCGACCACTTCTCATATAACCCGTTATTACGAGAAATCGTTGTCGGAATAACTGTGTTAAACAAACTGGTATAGGGTGTGCTAGTATGCCGTCTGTGCTCTGATTGCAAGTTACCGCTGAGAACGATACAATCAAAGATTGAAACCAATCGCTTTAGCTATTACAAGGGTATATCTTATAATCCCAGAATTCGTCTCCCACTGAGTTCAAAGCATTTGCTCGTTTTTGTATTCACTGTTGAAAGCTGGGAGAATATTAATTTCGTCAAAACTCTACTTCTTTTGAATCGACGTAGGCACGCCTGTTCGAAAACATTAGACCTCTACAGATAGAACATTATATTCTACGGGTGATGCTACAGTACCATATATTACTTAGGTACATATGCATACTTATGTATGTGTGCTTATCTATATATATATATATATATATCGTGCTCAGATTCTATAACATTTATGATAAGCACATATTAAGTTTGTGTGGATGTAGGGAATATCCAGAAAGATTTGCGGCAGAAGCAACTTCTGTTGTACGAAGTGGTACGAAAGTCTTCTTCTGAATCAATTTATGATTGTATTCTTATATTTGAGCGACAACTTGCAACCTTCGGGAAAATTTAACATTGGCACTGTTGAAGCTAAGAATTAAAAAGGAATTGGATTGGGCTACTCTCCGGGCCACTTCGATGAGATGGATCTCTATAAAAGTTCTTACAAAATATATCTCCTTCTACGACCACACCTATTTAAAGTTTTTTTCCTCCTATTGCTTTTCTCTCCGATCGTCATCGTATTTATACGATGGGGGACACTACCGCATTAATTGACTTCAAAATAAAACGTAATACCATTTTTATATCCACCACCGGATGAGCATTTAGTCGAAACGATTGCAGCATCCAGAAGGAAGCTTCAAAGGCCTTATGAATTATTTATATTCTTGAACAGCATCAACTTCTGAAACGAATTAAGTATATCCGCCAGTCCTAGTATTTTACGATGTAAATTAGTACCAAATAGTGGTGTA